GCCACCAGCCGATTGTCTTTTTCCAATTAATTTTCATTTCTGATGCCAGTCTAAACGCTTTCATTGCTCTTACTAACGCCCTGAATGACGAGTCTGAAGCTCTTACAAGGACCGTGAGATCGTCTGCAAACATTACTACTGTTGGGAACTGTAGGTGGTGGGCTGTTACTACATTGACCTCTGGTAGCCTGTGTACGGAGGGATCTTTCCGTAGGAATGAGGCTATTGCTTCCATCACGAAGAGGAAGATTGGGGGGCCTAGCGGGTCCCCTTATATCTGCCAGAACGGTAAGTCCTTGGATTATGTCATTCATTTTTCCTTCTTTCTCGACAATATTTTCGATACCGTTAATATTCCAGCTCCTAATGACTATCCCTTGTGTCTTCCAGTCCACCCGGTCTTCCTTTGCGTTTTCCCCCTTCTAAAAGTATCCATCATTGAGGCTACGGGGAAGAGGCAGAGGTACAATCATAGTGGTAGACAGCCGACAGCCGACAGCCTAGGAGGGGGCCTGAGGCGGGTCCTGTTGCACTGCTACAGCGGAAACCGCTACTACCCCCGATGCTATTTTTATGAACCGGTTACCAGAACAAATTTTCGGAGCCTGACTAACCAAGAAAAGACGTTGTCGGCCTACGGGTAACAGCAGGAACCCAAACACGTGTTTGTTTGCCGCCAGTATCCATGTCACCATGCAAACTTTTTGGCTTTATTTTTTGATTTCTTTCCCAAAAGATCAGAAATACAGAGTGCAAAATTTTGCCGAAGTTTGTGCATTCAAAATTTTGTGAAAAGCCACCGACAGCCCGCTGCCAGCTGCAGGCACCATGTTGCACATTTTTAGGCATTGGGGGCAGTGCTGGTGAGAATGCTGGAGGGGTCACCTGTTTCCAAGCCAGAACCGAAGTTAGGATTGGAGAGAGGCTATGGAGACACAGACAAGGGTCTGATGGAGATGAGATGTGTAGGCCATCTGCGTAAAAGCCTTCCCCCACAGTATAGCACACAAGGGAAATGTTTTGCTCTCCCCGAGAAAGAAGGCAGGCAGGCAGTCAATCGTTCCTGAGGCAAGGGATCAATTCTGTGAGTGATTTTATTGATATGCTCACATATTTTTGACTTGCTGGCGGAACAAGAACTAGATCAACACTCCCTAGAATCAAATGGAGTCATGACAATCAGATCAGGTCATGCTAAAAAACCACAACAACAGCAACAACGAGCTCAGTTGGTAAGGCACAAAAGTTGCATTGAGGAGGTCGTGGGTTCAATCCCCATTTGCCTCACGTACATGCCTGGGCATGCTTGGTGTTCTGCCAGCTAGAGATAACACGTTGGCCGCCCAAGCCAGCATTGGCAGGACCTTGCCCAATATTGTTGGTTGCTATGCAGCAACGATATTGGCCATTAGACACTGCTAATGTGGGGTTGGAGGGGGGTAGGGGGAGGTGCAAGTGACTGGCCAAAGATGCTCGGCGCTAGCATCGCCGGTTTTCCTCGTCGGCAATGCCTGATCACCCTGCGGGGCTGATACAAGCCTTGCTCTCGCACCACTAATGTGGTGCAAACTTACACTGTGGTGCTGGGGAGATTTCCAGGTTTGGTTGGTGTTCCCCCGTAATCTACATAGAGCAACGCGAGCATGAAATAGATGAGATAGATGCGGAAAAATATGCATAGATAGACTGAAAGATACGAAAAACAACAACAACAACAACAACAACAACAAAATAGGATAATTTGCAAAATACCCCCACAAGTTTAGATACATGTCAAAATGCCCCTGGAAGATGTGAATAGAGCGTAATGCCGCTCTGACAAAAAAAGAAATTTCGGGAATACCCCTGATGCCGGTTGGAACCCCCATCTTTGCAATATACCCCTACTGGGTAACGTCCAACTTTGCAAAATGCGCCGGTCCTTGCCAACTCTTCCAAAGCCCGATTGCAAAATGCTCAGGCCCAAACCGCGAGGTCCAGATTGCAAATTTGTGCACCAGCCTGACAGGGGGGCACAACACAGAATTCGGCCCAAAAGGGCATTCCGCTCCACCCACATCTTTCAGGCGCATTTTGGCATATATCTCAACTTATGGGATATCAAGTTATCCCCAAAAAAATCACTGCTGGACCAATGGACCATGATGGCAGTATTCCATTGACTTACATTGCGCCCGAAATTGAGGTCATTTGTGAATGCAAAACTGGTTCCTCTGCGACTAGCAGTGAACTTTATGATGGCTTTTTGCGTGAACGGTTCTTCTTTATTGCCCACTTCCAGCCTCCCGCTTTGTAGGATGAGAATGGATTCCACGGTCAGTGTAATATCAGTGTCAGCAAAAACCAGTGTTCCTGCAAGGGGGGTAAACAGAAGCCACAGTGGAAGCCAAAGCCAAAGCCAAAGTCAAACACACATTATGCAGGAGTACAATAGGCGGCTATGGCCGCCAACAACCCCAACACCTCTCTCTCCCTCTCTCTCTCTCTCTCTCTCTCTCTCTCTCTCTCTCTCTCTCTCTCTCTCTCTCTCTCTCTCTCTCTCTCTCTCTCNCTCTCTCTCTCTCTCTCTCTCTCTCTCTCTCTCTCTCTCTCTCTCTCTCTCTCTCTCTCTCTCTCTCTCTCTCTCTCTCTCTCCCAAGTCTACCTCAGACCTCTCTTCTCCTTCCGTTGTTGCCTTTCACCCTCAAGCTACAGCTATGGCACCCATCCCCGTTGACTAAACTACACGACTGTTATGATCCTACTCCATCCACAATGCAAAACTCAAGCGTGAGAGAATTCAGGACTCAGTGAACTCAAAAGAAGAAGTAGAGAGAGATGAAGAGTGGAGTAGAATGGAGAGGATAGAAAAAGAAGAAGAATTATCTCATCTTCATCTCCCGTCCTCCTCCACTTCAAATAACCAATTAATTATAACAACATTGTTACAACAAATGAATGAATGAACAGGAATCATATCTGAATATTCCCCCTTACTATCAGCAGAAAAAGCCCCCCTTTCAGCCTCAACCTCACTCCTCTTCTCCTGGTTGCATCTCTGACTACGGTGGTCCATCCATACCCATCACGAATGTTTAAAGGACAACAGAACTGCTACTATCCATACTACTATCCCTCTCTCATATCATGCCACCATAGGCACACTCTTGGATGAAGTCCAAGACCAGCCGCTATCAGCACAGGGGCCTTGAGGATGCAGCACCAACCAAGAAAATGGAGATGAAGGTCTACCATAGCCAAACGTGAGTCTCCCATGTCGGTTCCTCTTTCTCTCCCCCCTGCTCAGCCTCTACACCCTTTCTCTACCCTTCTCCATGGCCTGGCTTGAGGCGTTTTACCCTCTACCTCCATAGCCTAGGTCTACACCCTACTACTAGTATTCCATGGCCATGGAGGTCTTCTTACTCTCCCTCAAGCTCCACCACTCAAGAAGAGATATGCCTAACTTCACCCTCTGGGCAGAGCAGCAGCATGATATTCTCTTGCAACTCGGCCTCCGACCTCCCTTGGCTGCGGTACTACTGCCTCTTCTAGTGTGCTAGGCCTACTGGAAGTTCCTGCCATTTGCAGGAACATTGTTGCAGCCTGAAATCCTATTTCAGGGGTAATGGCCCTTTTGTGAGTCGGGAAAAGCTTATCGCCCAATCCCTGCGACAATGTCGCCACCTTGTCCCAGAGTTGCTGGGCCTTTGGGCAGGATATGAGGCAGGGCCCCACATCCTCCAGCTGCCCCATGTCACAGATGGCGCACAGCTCGTTGTGGAGGGTTCTGTGTTGCCGGTTTCGCCGTCTGCTCAGCCATTGGTTCACCGGTAGAGCCATATATATCAACGACCACTGCATGCTCCTTACCCTCACGTTTCTTATTTCGAGCACATCGTCCCACAGGATGGAGGGGAAGGCTATGAGATCTATTTCTAGACACTTTAACCATCTTTGCTTTACTGTTGCGCCTGCCACCACTGATCTGCCCCTCAGTCTGTATCCCAACTTGATTATGTACTGCAGGAGACTGAATCTCTAGGCAGTCCTGCTGGTGCCCCCCTGGAGTTTCCAGACCCACTTTACCAGGTTCACCTCCAGATCCTGAATAGCTACCGTGGATTCGTAAATCGTGTACTCCTCGTTCTCCACCACCCTAACCTTTGTCAGCATGTTCTTTTTGACCGCCATCTGGGCCTGAGTGTCACGCTGTACCTTACTTACAGCTGCACCCGGGTCTACAGTGTTGTGCATGTCATATACTATACAGTCCTGATTGGGCACTGCTTGCGAGATGTAGGCCAGTGCCATTTGCGGCCGCTCCTCTGTCGGATTGTTGCCTAATCCCCTTTTGCCCATTTGCTGTCCCCTTTAACTTTCGTCACCCAGTCTTCCGGGATTGACAACAGGATGTCATCGAGTTGTGACACCCCTTGAGTGTGTCTCTCAATTCTGTATGTGTCCTCCACGATCTTCTGTTTCCTTCTCAGTACCCATAATGTTTCTTTTTTCCCTATACAATAAATCTTTCTTTTGTTTTGTATTTCTTGTTCTTCTGTTTTCTTTTCAGTTCCCAAAATGTTTAATTTCAGCGATTTGGATTGGACCTTGGGGAGTCAAAAACAAAATAGCCAAACATTGGTGCACCTTGTCCATGTGGCTGAACGGGACACACAAGTTAGTAAACAGACCATCAGTCTCAAGGATGATGGAATCAGACGGATGCCATAACGTTAGGGGCTACGCTCTCCAAACAAACAAAAAAAAAAAAACCGACAAATACCAGAGCCAGTCAGCCTGCAGATGAAGCACCAGCTTCAGTGCCACCCGCAAACACAACAAGTACCACCAACCAAAGAGAGCTAACCTACAGGTCCTACTCTATATGTAGGTCTAGGGCCTAGGGCTAACCTACTGGTCTGGACTCACCTAGCGCCTAACATCATAATAGTTCACCAACTGAGCTAGGCCTGTAGGTAGACTCAGTTCAGCTTTGCTTTTTTTTTTTTTTTTTTTTTTTTTTTTTTTTTTTTTTTTTTTTTTTTTTTTTTTTTTTGGAGAAAGTCTATCAGGTCTACTATTGCTGGTGATACGAGCATCCCCCAATAGTAGCCTTGACTTGCACAGCTCTAATCTATTGGTGGTGACTATCACCTGCTGGGAACCGGGCCCAGCATCCCATTCATACGATACTGCAGGCCGCCCACACCCATATCTCTGTTGTGGGGATAGGTGCTGCCATATCTTCTTTTTCAACGGCAGCAGTTCTTCTTCTTCTTCGTCTTCTTCAAGCGGGAGCTTTCTTCTTCATCCTGGGATTGGCGCCAACGCCGCCAAGTCTTTTGAGCAAGTTCTGAGGTCGCGTTGATGGTCCGGAGGGCTGTAGGGATGGGTGCATGGAATCCTGAAGGGGCGCAATAGCCATACAGGCTGGCAATGACTGGGATGATGTGATGGTGATGAGGCAGGGTCTATAGGTTTGTCGGACTGGCGTTTCGAGTTTGCCTAAGGTAGTTTATACTTGGTTGTGATTCTTGGCTACTTGTGATTCTGGTTGGACTTGGAGAGTTGGCAAGAGACTTTGAATTGCTCATGTTCAATTCTCCATAAAAAAAATAAAAAAAAATAAAAAGAGCCAGTCATGTGAGTAAGGGTAGAATTTTCAAATGGTGCGGGGGGAGCAATCTGGAAATCGTTCACTTTTCATTACAATTTTGAAGCAATGCGTAATGGCACACAACGAATCAGTTAGCTGTGATCCAAAAGGTGCACTGAGAACTTCCCCTTGTAACCACAGCAACACATGGTTTATCTTCCTTTTTTTTCTTTCCCTTTTACCCTTTTTAAAGGCTTTCCCCCTCCCCCCCCCTCTTTTACCCTTTTCAAACCTTCTATCTTTCTTCTTCTCCAAAAGGAGAAAAAAATCACAAACTCAAAGACCAAGGTGCATAGAACAATCCCAATGTGAAGCAGGCACAAGTTATAATAATTTGAACCAACGCATGACAATCACAACCAAATCACTGACTCAGCTGCGATGAGAACTGCACAAATAAAACTTCCGCTAGATACCACAATCACACTGCTTATGTTTTCTTTTTTAATCCCTTTTGCCCTTTTGTGATCTCCTCTCTATGTTTTTCTTCAAGAAAACATTACGAAGATTAAGCTGATGAACTGAATGTTTCGATTCTTTCGAATAGATGAGGCAGGGTCCTCACAATTTCCCTATGACTCGTCAACAGCACTAAACCAAACAGCTGCAAACGCAATACCTTCCACCATGCATTGCCTCGCTGATAATGTCTGTGAGCAACCGTGCTGGATGTGGAATTAGTCATCCATTGCCAGTCTCGGGCTTCGAAGCTCGCCTTTTTAAGGCTCATGAAGACGCCTCAAATAATACCTCTGCTATCTACAACGACCTAAGCGGGTCTTCCTGCCAACATCTATGTCATGATCCACAGCCTATGTTGCATGCCCGCTCGTGCCATTTGATCATCCATGGCCACATGGCCTCAAGAGTAATTTAGTCCTTCAGCTCTACTCTCTGATTTGCCCTCAACTGCAACCAAACTATTTGACCTACAGTTTCTAAGATGTGTTCCCTAACCGTCGTGTCCAACACCCCTTCGTTCCTAACTGAGCGTCTGTCCTGCCATACTGAGAAATCGCCCTCATACACCAGTTGTTCTTGCTGAAACCAACACACCCCTTCCCTTATCAACAGTAGTGGTAAATGACATGCAGTGTGACGCCTGTCCATACCTGTTTGAGATGGGGCACTCCAGCATATGCGTGTATCTGATCCTTTCCCTGCTATACTCACTTTCACGCCCAAGTCTTGCTCCTCTGCCATGCTGCTGTGGGCACAACTTTGTTAGAGTATATGTAGCCGTGCCAAGCTAGATAGTTTGACAGAAGGAAGTACCAGCAAGACAACATGTGAGTTTCAATCACACTTAAGGATGTGCTTTGTTCTTGTTGTTAACTTTTTGGAGGTTTGTTGAGACCATCTCCGACTGCAGTCCAATAACAGAACCCCCCCCCCCCTTCCTCCTCCCTGCCCCTTTTCTTCCCCTCAACAGTCATGAAGGCAGGATCAACTTGGCAGCCTCGCATGATGGCTTTGGGATGCGCTTCCACCACAAGTGATCAGGAAGATGCAGATGAAGTCGAAGCTCTGTGAACTCACCAGCTATTGTTATGTTCTTGAGAGGCGGTGGTGAGATATCAAGCGTCACATTCCATCCTTGTGGAATCCGCACGGATGATCCTTCAACTGGCACTACTCCGTTTGTCCACGTGAGGTTATGATAATACCTCCAGGTTGCCGGATCTGACCATGCACGCATTTGTGGTGAACCATCTGTCTTTCCGTCCGACAAACCGGGAACAAAACATCCGGAATTTGGGCACACTTGAGGGATGATTGTGACCCGTCCGATGTTCTGCCTAAAGAGAATAGTGAAGGTTGTCTGATTTCCTGGTGGGGGTGTTGATGTCAATGTCTTGTTGTAATGGCTGGTGCCAGAAGTGTCGTTTAGAGGACGAATGCCACGAAAAACAGTTGGCCAGTTGGCGCAACACAAGTCAATGTGGTCCCACACTTCATCCATTCTCTGCTGAATCAGGAGGTATGCCGAGGGGGAGGGGTATGCCCTATCTGACGTCAGAGAAAAACTGGAAACGGAGCCGATGGCACCCCAGCTCATATCATAAATCTTGCTCCCAGGGAGTACTGCAAGATTTATCTTCAGCTTCGTCATATAGGGGACAACAATACTTCGTGTTAAATTTCCCCGCCATGTAGTGAACACCACTGGCCAGCCTCCTTGTTGTTCAACAATGAGACGGTAGAAGACCACATCAGGCATGCAGAGGACTGCTTCTCGGTAGGCCGGAAAGGGAGGAATCGTGCACTCATCACTGAAAAAGATGGAGCTCACTGGAGCAATCGTTTGTCCCTTTATGCCTGTAAGAGAACCATCCAAGTCACAGAACTGGCCATCGGTTGGCTTTGTGAAGGTGGCCACATTCGAGGAGTTGATGTACTTTATTCCCTCCACACAGCTTGTGAATCCACCCTGCAAACAGGATAGGGGCAATTTCAGCTTACTGTATTCAAAGGAGCAGAACAGTTTGTAAAACACTCACACATACACACACACACACACACACACACACACACACACAGACTCTGGCCATCAGTTGGCTTTGTGAAGGTTGCCACATTCGAGGAGTTGATGTACTTTATTCCCTCCACACAGCTTGTGAATCCACCCTGCAACAGGATAGGGGCAATTTCGGCTTACTGTATTCAAAGGAGCAGAACAGTTTGTAAAACACACACACACACACACACA